TCAAAGGACAGGATTTAGAACCCATCCTTTTCCTGCTTTTCTAGCTCAATAACTGTATTTTCTCTTCCAGAAATGGGAACAAATTGAAAGCAATTCCAAACTGAGGCACGTTGGCAGCAACCTCTGTCTAGACAGCCGAAATGCCAAAAATGGTGGTCTCACTGTTGAGATCTGCAGTCCTTCTTTGTCACAACAGTGGAAATTCACACTTAATCTGCAGCAGTAGACTTACAAGCAAAATGCTGTTTTGATTCATAGACGTTGGGCAAAGTTTTGATTGAATTACTGATGTATTTCTTAAAACTTTCCACGGAACTTATATACCTCAGTATTCCACCTTTATCTGAAAGTAGGAGAGTGCTGAAGCAGACACCAGGGATCCAGGGGGCTTGGAGCACTGCAAAGATGTCAGTGAACATGACTGCAGCACAATTCCTTATTGGTGTGAAGACTTCAACGATTCCTTTCTGTCTTCAGTTACGTACTTGCACAGCAGATAATTAACTCTAGGAACAACTGATGTATGATAAAAAAAGGATCTGAAGAAACACCTGTGGGGAAGAGGGAGTGGGAGGGGAGGGTGGGAAAAATTACTAGGAGAAGGTCATTTGAAATCTCCATTTGCATAGAAATCATGGTTTGTCGTTCCAGAAACAGAAATGTCATTTTGAAGGTTTTTTTCCTCCTGTGTGTACTTGGTAATTTGAATATGAACTTTTCTATGATGGACTCTAAATATAAATATATAAAAGTATATATATTGTCAGCTCCCAATGATTTATATCAGTTTTCATCATCCTATAATTATCAACAAAGTGAATGATGTATGTACAACCAGAAATTGGATTGGAATGCTAGGAAAGTGAAACTTTATGAAGGTGCGGATTTTGTGCTGCTGAGTATGATGTCCGTGCTAACACTGGATGCTTTTGCTTTGCAAACTGGATCTACTTCTTAACACTTCACCCTCACTGGAGATGATGAAGCTCAGGAGGAGAAAGAAAATAGCAGAATAAGCCAATGCATCTGCACAAGATGATTGCTCAGATTTATTCCAACTTGGAAATTCATTACATGTACCCAACGTTAAACTTGTATTTGATATTTGTGTTTGATCATTTCTGTAGTACTTTAAAATACTTCTTCCTTTCTTACAAAATTATATAAATGGTGCAGAGCTTCCATGCAGCCATGTGGGTTCAGCACAGTTTCATTCTGGGCCCCAATGAGAAAAAATTGTCTCAAACTTCCCTTTTGAGTTGTAGAAATAAGATAGAATAGTAATATCACTGACAGCACAAGATTTGAATTTGCAAGGATGAGCAGCTATGTAATATCTCTGGATTGCACTTGCTTAATTTATAGACCTACTACTGGGGAATTTTCTTCCATTTTGTTTCTTTAAATGGAGTTTTTGAATGGATTCAGGCTTGGCTCTGGGAATCAGCCTGAATACCAGCAGATCCCATGTGTTTTTAACCATAGAACCTGTGCATTTTGCAGCTTCAGTCCAGCTGATGTCATTTTTATATTATACTGTCGAAGTTAACCCCAACTTTGACCTGTCCTTTCTTATGTTTGCATAGACTATATACTTTTTTATTAAAAGCAAATGCTTCAATGAGCTTTTAAAATGAAAATGAAAGGTAAATAAGTACTGATAAGCAAGACAGCATTGACAGAAATTAGTGCAGGCGTGCAGTGCCAGGAATGTTTTGGTAAGATGATGGATCTTGGAAAAATGTGAGGGTTGATTATAAGAAGATGAAAAACATCTGCTGTACTATAGTATGCTGGTACAGTTCTCCTCTTCCTTTGTTCCTGGAAGTAGAATAGTTCCTGATTTTTTTCAGTTTTCTTTGGCTGTATCTGTACATTAGGTGGTACTCTTCTGGGCAAAATGACTTTAACTGTGCCAGTCAATGGTGCCCATAAATACCTTGTGTATCTGAAGTTATGACTTGCAAGTACTTGCATACCTTTTGGATGGGGGCATTAAATCCAGGTTCTCCCAAATATCACCTGACTTTTTTTATGAGTAATTAATACTACTTTTTTTTTTTTTTTTTTTCTTCTTCACAATCCACTTTCTCTAAAACTTGCCTGTTTGAGAGGCCGTACAGTGGATAAACTACTTTTCAGCTTTTAATCTCTCCCTACCTGTAGCCTTTTAACCTAGCCGAGAAATTGAAGAATGTGATTCATAAACATAGCAGTAGATTTCTTCATATTCTGGAAAAATAAGTGCTGAAATATGGGCTCAGCAGCAAGTCAATTATTTGAGGTTCTGAAGAACAGAATTTAAAAGAAAAAACCCAACCACTCAGTTTTCTACTATGGAGGTATTTCCATTTGCAACTTTGGTCATAGTAACTAACTGAAATCAGCAGTTGCAACTCTGAATAATGACCTGCCTCTTATTTCTGAATCACAATTGCTAGCAAAAAAAAAAAAAATAAAAAATCTCCATCTTCCACCTCTGAAGTCTTTAATGTCAACTGCTATCATACAAAGTAGGAATATTTTCACTAATTCCCCATGGATGCTGTGCCTAGGGGTTTTTAATATAGGAGCTGTATGTTGCTTTTCTTCGAGAGAACAGACAAGAAGTAGTATCCTTTTGTTATGTTTACATGACAGTGTGCCAAAGTTACTTACTGTGATTTTAGGGGTTTTTAATGTTGAAGAAATTTGCCCCTTTGAAAGCTAAATTAAGAGCCCTTGAAGCAAATTGTGATGGAGTCTCCTGAGAACTTTTCTTACCGTCTTCAGAGCAAGAATGGTGATATTGTTTTGCAGATTTTCAAAACATAGTTTGGAAACTGTTTTTTCAGTTGGTTTGAAAAATCTGCTGTACAGAGCTTGTACTTTTTTCATTTTATAGATGGAAACCATCCTTGAAAAATTGTTTAACTTAAATAAAGAAGAATGCTTTATAGATAAATGTGTGGTGATTAATATAACTGAGTAAAACCAAGTAGTCTGCCTGGAGCTTGTAGACTGAAGTAGTTTTCAAATACTTCAGGTAACTTGGTTATTTCTTAAAGCCCCTGCTCTAGAAGTGTATATATGTGGGTGTATATTTGCATTTATGAAAAGATAATTTGTTTGTGTTTAAATGAATATGATAACTTTGAGGAAATTGTCTTATTTTAGAAGCTGCTTTACATTGAAGAGTGAGTTAGCACTGACTGTAGTCACCTGAAAACATTAAGGCACTCCCCCTCCTGCCCCACTAGGCCTAATCTTCTTGAGACTTATACTGTCCCTCTCTGCTGCCAGAAATCAGTATGACAAGCATGACAGGACCTCCTGCAGGATGATTGCAGCAGCAGCTCTCATAGTTGATTGTGGTGCCTGTCCTCACCTGCTCCCGTTGTCCTTCTGTTGTTCAGGGTAGTAATTCAGATGTCTGTGGTACACTTGAAGCTAGATCTTAAATACTCCAGATTTAAAACCAAAACTTTTTTTTTTAAAAAAGTGTGTCTTTGGGGAAAAATATTACACAGGTCTAGTTTAGAGAGCTTCCAAGTGAACTTGCACTGGCACAGTTGGGGAGGGAACAAATCTTCCACGGTAGGTGATGGACAGCTGTTAAAGTGTGGAATAATTCTACTGCTGTAAGAGTAAGTGGAACTGCAGCCAGGGCATGGTGCTCAATTACAGCATCAGCTTGGCAGAGCTGGTGGATGATACGGTTCTCTCTGGGGCAGGGTAAATGGGAAGAAGAATGACTGAATGAAGTAAAAAGTCTCACCTGTGGTTGTGGCATTTTGTCCAGCTTCAGAGATGCCTCAAGTCAGTTCTTAGGGCACATCCTTCTCCACTCTGTGGCATACAGGAATAGGATCTTTGCTCCAGTCTAAGAAACTTAGCTTTTCAGTTAGCCCCAAGGATACGATCAGCTAGTGTAACCTGCAGAAGCATTTACAGGAAAGACTTAAACCCTCCTACTCTCTTAATTGTACTGACAGGAAGATTTTTACCTATTGGGCTGTAGGAAAGGAGAGGTTTTGGGTGCAAACTTACTCTCCCTGTGTGCCAGAAGTCTAGTTAGCACCTTTCAAAGTGTCTCTAAATTAAATCAAGCAAATAAATCCTTAATATTAATGGTTGGCAAAAATAAAAAAGCCCCGTCAAACTGCAGTAAACAAAAGAAACCACCTGGCATTTGCAGATCATATTGGAGAAGTCAAATGTGGATCCTCTATCTTAAATGTCCTTTGACACTTGTGAACTGACAGGTAATACTAAAAGATAATTACAACAAGCTTCTGGCAGTGGAAGCTTTTAATTTAATCTAATGTTAAATGTAAAGTCTGTCTCATGTCTCAGATGGACATAACGCAAGACTTGTGAGTCGAGATAAGGACAGGGAGAGATCACTTGCCAGTTGCTGTCACAGGCACAACAGACTCAACTTGGGGAAATTAGTTTATTACCAATCAAATCAGAGTAGGATAATGAGAAATAAACCCAAATCTTTTAAACACCTTCCACACTCCTCCCTTCTTTCTAAGCTTAACTTCAGTCCTGATTTCTCTACCTCCTCTGCCCCCAGTAGTGCAGGGAATGGGGGTTGTGGTTGTTTTGTCTTTGCCACTCCTTCCTCCCCAGGGGGAAGACTCCTCACACTCCTCCCCTGCTCCAGCTTGGGGTCCCTCCTGTGGAAGACAGTCCTTCAGGAACAGACCACTCCAGCATGGGTCCCCCATGGGGTCACAAGTCCTGCCAGCAAATCTGCAAAGTGGGCTCCTCTCTCCACAGGTCCTGCCAGGATCCTGCTCCAGTGCTCTCCATCAGGTCACAGCCTCCTTTGGGCATCCACCTGCTCCAGCATGGGGTCCCCCCTGGGCTGCATGTGGATCTCTGCTCCACCGTGGACCTCCATGGGCTGCAGGGACACAGCCTGCCTCACCATGGGCTGCACCACGGGCTGCAGGGGAATCTGCTCTGGCACCTGGAGCATCTCCCCATCCTTCGTCACTGTCTGCAGAGTTAATCTCACATCCTGTTCCTCTCTCAGCTACAGGTTACCCAGCACGTTTTTTTTCTTAACTATGTTATCCTAGAGGTGCTACCACAGTCACTGACAGGCTCAACCTTGGGTATGATGGGTCCATCTTGGAGCTGGCTGGCATGGCTCTATTGGACACAGGGGAAACTTCTAGCAGCTTCTCACAGAACCCACCCCTGTGGCCCTCTGCTACCAAAACGTTGCCATGCAAACCCAGTACATCAGGAGAGTTTAAAAGGCTGCAACCTGCTTAAGGTAAGGACTGTTGTCTTGTTTGAAGTGGGTCTTGTAGAGTATTTTCCAGTTCCTGTCTGGGTTGTTACTGCTGAACTTTAGTTATTTTGAAGTGTTTTATTTTTGTATACAAAAGTCTACTTTGCCTTACTTAAATATATATTAAATGTAGATACTCCACAAAATTTATGTGGACCTGAGTTGCATGCATGGATTCACCTGTGTCCTCACTCAGCCTAAAATACAATGAATAATTTCATAGCAATAACTTGTTATAGAACACTCTAGCAAGAGGCTTGTTCCTGTATAGAATTATTTTAAATTAATGGAAACCACTGAAAAAAATAGTCTGGGATAATAAGCCATGATTACAGAATGAGCACAAATGTGAGGGTTGAATCTTTTGTTAGACTGCACATTTTATTTACAGCTTAACATCCAGTAGCTATTTTAAGATCTGCTAGTAATCAGGCTTAAAAACTTGGAATAGAGTCAGTCCACAGATGTTCTCTCTGTACAGCCCTCCAAGAGGTTGTCTGAATGGGTGCAAAATACCCTTTTGATTTGATTTGATTTCTTGCAGCAGAGCGACATGTTGTTGCTCTGTATGTAGGAAGAGGGATCTGTTTGATTTCAAGTCCCTATTTCTACACAGCAGATGTTTTTAATCCAAGGATTTTTTTTTTAATTAAAAAGGATTTGGAAGTAGCAAATAGCTATGTTTTCTGCCATACCTCTATTAATTAAACTTCACTTTCGGTGATCTGGCCATTGTGGTAAAAAGTGTTAGAAAATTACTACCAAGAGTCTGCTGTGCTCTGACTGTGTGGTGAGCACCACTTACGCAAAATGCTTTTCTCTTAACTTTTGTGTCACCTTCCTTCCTGCCCTTCAGGTTGTTTGTGAAGTGAGTGTGAGGTGGATTCCTAGGTGGCAGCTCCGTGCTCACCTGAGCCAGCCTATTTGTTGATGCTGAGGGGGAGAGGGGTGCTGGTCCTGCCTCTCCTCCCTTGTGCTAGCATTGGTGACCGTTCCATGAGACTATTAAGTGAATGAAGCAGTAGGACAAGATTAAATTTATTTTGTTCTACCCTGGAGAGATGAGTTGGCCTTTTGAAGGGTCTTGAGAACAGGTTGCTGGCACAAAGTGGCAGGGTTTCATAACCAGAAGCAGGTGAGGGGGGAAAGATGTTGAACTTTCCTCCCTGCCCAGCACCAGTAAAACATAAAAGCAGCTTGCCTATCCTGTGGGGCCAGGAGATTCAACATCTGCTTAAGGTATTGTTCCTCCCTGCTCATCACTGTGAGATTTTGGGTACGGTTTTGTCACTGTCCTGTGCCAATTTGTGAGCTAGCAGCAGTTAAAAGGAGTGTTAGGAATGCTTCCTGGTGAGCCAGTGTGGGGTGTAAGGAAGGTTGGCAAAAAAAAAAACCCCACCCAAGATGGAAAGAGTGTTGTTATTTTCAGTAGCTGAAAGGCATTCAAGCTTGGCTTAACTAGACTGTAAAATCAAACCTCTTGTTTTCATGAGACAGCCTGAGCTGATGGATGTTCTGCTTTGCTTTCCAGTTGAGATGCCTTTAATGATAATTATTGTTATTATTACTTATACCAAAACAGCCTTATTGCTGTATGGTGGGTTGACCCTGGCTAGATGCCAGGTGCCCACCAAAACCACTCTATAGCTCCCCTTCCTCAGCTGGACAGGGGAGAGAAAATATCAAAAAAAAGGTCATGAGTTGAGATAAAGACAGACAGGGATCATTCACCAGTTACCATCACAGGCAAAACGGACTTGGCGAAAAATTAATTTAATTTATTGCCAATCAAATCAGAGTGGGATAATGAGAAATAAAACAAAGTCTTTAAAACACCTTTTCCTACCCCTCCCTTCTTCCTGGGCTAAGTTTGCTCATGATTTTCTCTACCTCCTCCCTTCAGTGGCACAGGGGGCAGGGGATGGGGGTTGTGGTCAGTTCGTCACCCGTTGTCTCTGCTGTTCCTTCCTCCCCAGGGGGAAGACTCCTCACACTCCTCTCCTGCTCCAGTGTGGGGTCCCTCCCACAGGAGACAGTCCTCCATGAACTTTTCCAACATGAGTCCTTCCCCCAGGCTGCAGTTCTTCACAAACTGCCCAGCATCAGTCCTTCCCGTGGGGTGCAGCCCTTCAGGAACAGACTGCTCCCACTGGGGTCCCCCATGGGGTTACAGGTCCTGCCAGCAAACCTGCTCTAGTATGGACTTCTCACAGGGTCATAGCCCCCTTCAGGCATCCACCTGCTCCAGCGTGGGGTCACCCAGGGGCTGCAGGTGGATCTCTGCTCCACCGTGAACCTCCATGGGCTGCAGGGGCACAGCCTGCCCCACCAGGGGCTGCACCACGGGCTGCAGGGGAATCTCTGCTCTGGGGCCTGGAGCATCTCCTGTCCCTTTTTCATCACCGACCTTGGTGTCCGCAGAGTTGTATTTTTCATATATTCTCACTCCTCTTTCTGGCTGCAGTTGCTGTTGTGCAGCTTTTTTTCCCCCTTCTTAAATGTTATCACAGAGGCACTACCACTGTCACTGATGGGCTTGGTATTGGCCAGTGGTGGCTCTGTCTTGGAGCCAGCTGGCATTGGCTCCATCAGACACAGAGGAAGCTTCTAGCAGTTTCTCACAGAAGCTCCCCCTGTGGCCCCCTGCTACCAAAACCTTGTCATGAAAACCCAATACATGCTGATACCTGAGTCATAAGCCAGCAGCACCCGTAGTGGCAAGAGAGGAGAAAGAGGGAGCGAGAGAAAGAAGAAGGTTTTAAGTTCCATCAAGGTCTTGATTTCAACGTCAAGCTAAGGTTTGATAGGGACTTTCCTACTTGGAAGGAACATAACACTTTGTTTTTGACACTCTTGAGAAAGAAAATGCTCCATCTTGCATGCAGTTTGTCCTTTGTATGATATGGTGCAAACCATGCTAGTGTTAAGTGCTCTGCCAGCTGGTTTCGGAATTGTATGAAGATGTTGCTTTTACTTTTCCTATTGAACAAGTCATTTGAGAGAGGGTGGCATCTTTAGGTCACTGATGAGGGTCAGAGCTTCTGTCATAGTAGGATCTACAAAAGAAGATGACACGCTCACTGGTATTTTGATGTCTAGGTAGAAAAGATGAAAAGAAAGTGAAGTGGAAGACAAGTGCAAAGTGAGAGGGTGTGGAGAAGCAGCTGCAGAGTAGTTGCAGCTTAAAATGTATTTCTAAGTCAGTAAATTCATAGTTTAAGGTAAAATAAGATCTAGCTGTCCTGTGCTCTACAGGATAATCTGTAACATCTTTGACAGTGATATCTGTGCCAAGTCCTCAGCTTCTGCTTGGAGGTGACCTCCAACAAGAGCATTCAGCTTGGATGTAAAAGACAATTTTCAGAAGTGTTTAGGACAGTCAGTTTTTAAAAATAAAATTTAGGCAGTTGAATATCTTGGGAAGCTGATGAATTTGAGAATTAGGAAATCTTGTTCTTCAGCTGATCTAATTCTCTTCTTGTCAGCTATTCCAAGTTTGTTTCAATGAGTAATTTGTTCCAGGCTGAATATCTAGCTTTGACTCCCAGCCATTTTGTCTGCTAATTAAGTTTTATTCCTCAAAATATTCTTTGTATCAGAGCTTCTAGAGTCTGATTCTGTCACCTCTTAACTTTTCCCCTTACAGACTGAGCCTTTTAAACTAGCTGAGAAGCAGAATTTTCAGACCATCCATTGCTACAGCTGGTCCCTGAGCTGTCCTCAAGGCAGATGGAGGGATGGTGGGGAAAGAAGGTCCTCTCAACTCCAGTAAAAATAGGATGAGGCCCTTACGGCTGTTACTTGTGTAAAATTCCCACTGATGCTTACCACTCATGTTGTACTTTGGGGTTTGTAATAAGGACAGCCAGCTTTTAGACAGTGCTCTGAGAGGCTCTGAGTCAATGATCCTGAGGGGTGGACATCTTCCTTGGCTTCTAGCAAAGCCAGCATAGCAAGGTAAATCAATGTTGGGTCTGTAGGTGATAGGACAGGGTGTGGGGGGTTTTGATGAAAATGGTAAACAAAACTTTGTTAGATGTCCACATGCAGTACTTGCAGGCTGCTGATCTTAACTGATACTCTTGAGAGTCCCTCAGTTTGCTCAAGGAACTTACCAAAAATTGGTCGTCCTAGGATCTCTGACCTGTTGTGGTTCCCATTTTTCAGAACAGGATTATGTGCTAGAATAGATCAAAGTATTCACACGGCATGTTGGTAAATCTTGAGAGACACAGGGAAAATGGAATAAGTGAGACAGACATATCTCAACTACAGGCTGAGTGGCACAGAGCAGATGCCATGGCCCACTTTCTTTCCCTGTTCATTTGAAGTTCTTTATCAGCAAGGAGCAGGAATTGTCTTGTTCCATCTTATTTGAGCTGGAAAGGCGTGGTGACTGTACAAGAAGAGGTTAGATCATGAAAAGTAAGGAGAATATAGATAAGGAGTTAACTCTCAGCTGTTCTTTACAAACAGTGAACAAGAAGTCCAAAAAAGGATGTTTTCAGGTACCAAGTTTAAGACACAAGTACTTCACACTGTTGAAAACTACCCCATGGATGTGAAAGCCCTTTCAGTGAAGGGAAAAAAAAAAAAAAAAAAAGGCTGTAAAACATGCAAACGTGTAAAACATGCAGCAGGAAGACATCTTTAAGTCAGAGACCGATGGGAGCTTGAAGGGCAGGTGGAGAAAATATTACTCAGTGTTGATCTCATTCCTTCGATCTTTCCTTAGGCATTTGGTTACTGGGTTATCTTGTCCTCTGGTCCATGTTGCTAACAGTTTCCATCTGAAATGTCACGGGTAGCTCATACCTGAGGCTGGACAAACGCGCGGCTGCACAGAGTGTCTTGGAGAACAGCAGGCTAGGTAAGCAATAGTGCATTGCCAGGAACGTGCGAGGCAGCACTGCCAACGGAGCATACCCAGAAGTCATTACCAATCAGCTGATACTTAATGTGCTAGGTAGAGAATCCCATCTCCAGCTGTCATTTCAAATTGCCTTTCTTTGCTACAGCTTACTTACAAAGTGGAGTCCTTAACCTCTTGCATAAAATGTGAAAAGGTTTTTGGTCGATTTTGATATTATAATGGCAAATGGCAGCAGAGAGTTTTTAAACTTCAGACTTTCACCTAGAAAGAGGAAATATTAAAAAAAGACCCTCGAAAAGATCAGGAAATTAATTTTGCATTTTACTGTGAATGGAGGAAGTCTAGTGCCTTCAGGGATCAAATTCCACACGCCATTTTAAGAATTTCCTATCCAAAACTGCTACAGATATAAACCTGTAAGAATCATCATTCTCAATAGCCTTTTAGGTAGAAGATGGCATCTTTGACATTCTGGTGTCTCTTCACTGCACGGTCCATAAGGACAGTCTTTGAGACCTTCTGAAGAAAACAAGTTTTTACAGACTTCTGAAAGCATGCCATGGGATTTTCCATTAGCCTGGATTCAACAAGCTGAATGTAGACCTTTATTAGCAGTGCTCGCAGAAAGGCTTGTATGAGCTTCTGAATACCCTCACCTGGCACAAAGCGGGTCCTGGTTCAAGACAGGTCACCGTGGGTTCCATTGCTAGAGAAATGATGACAAAAAAGGGAGGTGGCTTTTGCAACCTGGGAACTTCTGTACTGTGCGATTGGTGGGAACCGGCCCCACCATTTTCGTGAAATGGATCACAAATGGATGAAAGCAATTTCTGGCAGTGAAGCTGAAGACATGCCCAGCCTGTATAGGGCAGAACTGAGCCTGGCAGGAGTGAGAAATGCCCTTGAGGGACCATGAGTGACTTTCTGGAAAGATTAAAAAAAAAACCAAACAAAACAACACAAAAACAAAACCAAAAAAACATTCACTTTAACATTAAGAGGAAAAGGAATATCTCATTTAGACCTGGCCAAATAAAAGGTCATTTCATGGGGACACAAAGGGTTTGCCCAAATCTACATGAGTTGAATGTGACCTTTTAGCCTGCTCACTCTGTTCTGGCTTTGCCTGAATATTTGCACTGGAGGTGGCATTCATGTCAGCCTTGCTCCCTGTGTCTGCAAAGGCTGGAGCAAGAATAGCCACAAATGTGTTTAAAGCATATAGTGTGTGAAGAGCTCTGTTAGTGAGCTGATGCTGTCTGTTTTGTCAGGGGCTGCCTTTTGGGGCAGGGGAGGTCTTGCTCCTCACAGCAAAGATTTGGGGGTGTTGTAGGTACAAAAGAGGCTGTCTGAGCATAAGATGTCCACAGAGAAAATGCTTCACTTTCTGCTTTTCTGTACAGTACGGTTATTTCTGTGTTCACCTATGCATACCAGCCCACTGCTTTTCCATCTGTGAGAAGTGGCCTCTCCTTTCCCAGCAGATGATCTCCTGCTTGCCTGACTTCTCTCATGGGGAGGGCTCAAGCCATGCATCCTGCTGGCAGCTCTGTTTTTCTTTGACTGGGTGCCCTGGAGCACAAGTTTTCTTAGGAGAGCCAGAGATGGCAGCAAGACAAGTTTCCTGACGGTTCCCTTGTTCCAGTTTCCTCCTTTAGGCAGAACAGAATTTGATTTTTTTTTTTCCTCGCGATTATTATGGGCTGAGAAGAACAGCTCTCAAATTAGCCCTGAGGAGGTGGAAAGGTAGAGAAAGCTCACTGCGGGGAGTTTGGTCTGATGCATGTAATAAGCACAAGCTCTACCTGATTTGACGGATGAACCCTGTCATATGCACAGCCCTCTCCTTAGTTTGTTTTTGTTGTTTTAATTAACTTTTGGCAGCCATGCCAAACCCAAGCTCTGCGTCTTTTTCCAACCGCTGCTGCAAAGTTACAGTGAAACTCTGGTCATAGCTTGACTTGGGAGGATCTGGCCTATCCAGGGAGCATCCCGTGAAACTCAAAGCTTGTGTGAAGGTGCCAGAGGTCCAAAACATCCCACAACAGTGACCCTTTATCATTCTTTCCTAAAACACTCCTGCTCCATCTTCTCCACACTGCTTTGAGCAGCTTAGAGACATACAAATCTGCTGTTCTTGACACTTCTTTGGGACATTCATGTGATGTTTGGCCAGAGATGTTCTTGATGGACATGTACCAAAGCGAGCTCTTGCAGAGCACTGCAGGGGAAGATGGGAAGGACAGAGTTGGGCCCTTCAGCCATACCATGCTGACATGCAAATTGTTGGATTAAGGCCTGGCACATGTAATGCTGGCCCATTACCAGTCCCTCTGTGGGGGAGACTTCTCCTCAGCCCTGGGAGCTGTGGAATGGTTGCATTGCTCCAAATTGAGAGGATGCCCCTGTCTTGTCCTGTGGTGCCTGCCAGGGGTGAAAGCATGCTGGAGCACCTAACTGATGGGGAGGGGAGAGAAAGGGGCAACAAACTCCTTCAGTGCCCTGCAGCATCGATGGACAAAGCAGGATTTAGGCCACCCACCTAGGGAGCGGTGTGCTGTCCTCTGAGTGCCTCGATCACACAGCCTTGAGATGCCAAAAGGAGAGAAGGACAACTTTTGAACCATATTGTAAATCTCCTAAACTCCAGATAAGATGTAATGCTTTGTTTTCAGTGAGGGATGATGACTTTGCAACCACCCAATTTTAAGTAAATCTGTCTTAAGAAGATAGAGCTGCTCATGTGTTCCTGGGTGCTTCAGCCTTTGCGTAGGGTCTCAAAGAACAGCAGCAACAGCAAATCTCATCCATTGCTGATTTTCATTAACCACATGAGAAACTGGGTTAAGCTACCTCAGGCAATAAAATCCTGCAGGCTACTTGGAGGCTGTCATTGCTAGACAGGCTCTGTCAGCTGGGAAAGGGCACTGCTGTCTTGCAACAATGAACCTGACCATGTTATAAATAACTCTTCGTTGTTCGAAAAGAAACAGTAAGAGAAAAATTATTTCTTTCACTCTTTCTGTTCTAGTTTTCTCCCTTTTTCGTAGTGTCAAGGCAATTTGGTTATTTGCAGCATGAAAGCAGAGCCCGTCAGGACCATCAGCAGTAAAACTAAGGAGACAACAGATAGGGTGAGCACATGGAGAGAAGAGGAGGGGGCTGGTCTGGCATATCTGATGATTAAACCTGATGCACAAGCACGAGGTTGGGTTCCCACCTACACAGCTGCAGGACAGGATTTCCAGCATGACTGAGGTTTGGGCTATAGCAGGGAAGCTCCCTTACAGCCCAGTTTCATCTGTGTCTTCTTTGCCCAGAGGGTGCCTGGTCATCACTCCTGCAGGCTGCTCTGCTGGAAAGTAATTGCAGAAATGTACAGCCCAGTGCCTTGCAAGATGTTCATAATACATGGTTTACAACTGGTCTGCTGAACCATCCTGCCTCTATAGAAGTTTCCATTCCAACTTAATGATGTTATTGGACAAGTCCCAAGAAACAGATTGATTGTTCACTGTGGCCTGTGGGAACAAAAGTTGGGGAATCTCCTTTGCTTGTTGCATGAGCAGAAGAAAGCTGTTGCTGGCATCCAGTGAACCTACTTGAGTATTTATGCTTGGTGTGTGAGTACTTGCCCCAGGACAGGGGCAAGGCAGGTGTATTTTATGCAACATAAAAGCAGCTTCTAAAATCACTGTAGTGCACAATGCCTTGAAATTGGCCACTGTCATCCCAGGTAAGAGATTGCTGCTGAATATGGATGATCTGTTTAAACTATCTACTATCTGTTTATTGCATTGGCCAGGACCCCTGTAAGGAATACAGATGTTTAGCAGCTGGTCTGAGTCCTGCTGAGATACCTTTCAGGTACATCAATGCTGCTCTAGTCCCAGGATCACAAGCACCAAGCTCCTGGCTGCAATAACAAATTCTCTTCATTAAAAGGGCTAATATTTTGCTAAGTTTATTAAACCTGACTTGCAGTATTTAATAGCACTGATTGATCTGACTGCAGATGGGTCATCATCAATGTTCAGTTTAGTAAATACTTGACATTATCTGAAAAGACAGAAACTGTGGAACTCTGCAGTGGCACTTCTAAAATTGCTTTTCTGAACAGAGAAGTGTTCTACCTGCTCTATATTAATCATGGGATAGGAACAAAAAAAGGTGATTATTTCAACACAAAAATGATATGCCAAGCTAGCTGTTGGGATGCTTCTCTTCAACCTCAGAAGTAGCTCCGTACAAGGTGGTAGTGGGTTCTTGAGCCCAATAATGGAGAAGACTGAAAAAAGAAGAATCAGAGAGACAGTGAGAAGAGGACAGCATGCACAAGCTGGAGGAAAGCTGGCAGGTACAGAATTACATTTTTCTTTGAGAGTGTTGGATGGGGCCTTTGTTCTGTGGCTGGGTGGAGATACAGTTTTTGTGTTTGGAGACCAGTTTTTCAGTCCAAATATTCAAGAGATACATATATACATTAATTCATGTATTAATCTTATCTCCAACAGTTTTGGTGTTAAAAGGCTTTGGAATGCAGATAGACTAGTAGGAAATGAACCTTTCCGATTCCTGGGAGTGATTTGCAATTTATTCTGGTGTGACTGGCTGCAAATGCTGATCTTAGAGCAAATTAAAGATATGTTTCTCCCCTCCTCCCCTTTCCCTTACAACTTTCCTTTTTTGTAGTTTATTATTTGGTATCATTGTACCTGGCTGCTGGAAGCTTGACAAGATTCTCCTTTTTAAAAAATTTTGGGTCTGTCTCAAAGAGACTGAAGTGGTTTGGTTTGCTGTTTCTCCAAAGGGTATAAGACAATGCTGTGATTTTAAATCCTGCCTTGCTCTTCTTGGGGACTCCAAATCTGACAGGGGGAATATCTAACCCTTCTTTTAAGGTTAAAATTCAGCCCCACATCATGGAAGTATGAAAAAGAGCATATTTTGGCTTATTGCACCTGGGCATGTTCACATCACCATTGGTAACAGCTGCCTCTGCATCAGGGTGAGGGCTGTGCTGGGGTGCGTGAGCTTCTTTGCTCAGGGGAGGTTATTTGCATTCAGGTTTGTGGATTGTGAAACTCCCATGAGCTTGAGAACCTGCTTTGCTGCTGCTCTTGCTTCTTAGATGATGAGTTCCTAAGCAAAACCTGTAACACACACAAAAAAAAAAAAAAGGCAAAGAAAAGCAGAATAAAGGCTGGTAAAACACCTGAACAGCATGGCAGTATCTCCAGTGATGTCAGTGCCAGCATTCCTTGGGAATTCTGTCCAGGTCCTCACCGGGGAAACTGGGAACAGTAGAAGAGGGAGAGAGAGGTCTCTGGCTCCTCAATTCTCATCACTTTTTGCTTCCCAAAGAAAAAACTGTGGCTGGCTGATCATCTGATCTGTGCTATAATCTAAGGGAACTGGAGCATGGAGATGTCTCTGAAGAGTCGAGATGGCTTTGCTTTCCAGGGGGCTGATGAGATGCCATTCATTACCCCCTGTAAAGTGCTTTATCAAGTCTAGGATGAAGGTGCTTTAAGAGTGCCTGTGCTTTGACCTAGTGATGGCTGGGGGTATCCTTCTCTGCAGCATCTGTGACTTGGCACTTCTTTCTTTCTGCTCCTCTGGGGATGAAGGGGCAAGAGGGACAGGATATTAGGAAACACTGCAAAATGGAACATTAAGTTTGTCTTAATTAAGAAAGGCTACATTACTGGAATTATTAATTCCAAATTCTCTTGAGAATAATTTCACAGGAGATTGAGTTACTGCAGGCCCTGGCCTGACCTGAATGGATAGTGTTGTTTTAAATGACAGTGCTGATGTTATATGTGTGTGTGTGTCTGCGCGCATGTCTCAGTGTTAATCATATTCTGGATTGCATAATTTCAGAAATTAAATTCCTTGCTTTATTCCATTAGTGTGTTAAAGATGATTTGCAGTTCTTCTCACAACTCTGATCATGTAGCCTGATTACACACAGCATTAGCTCTGGTCACGGCACATCCAGGGACCAGGGAGCAAAGCGATGTGCTGCTGTGGGTGGCTCTCCAACCACGACAGCAAGCTCAGAGAAATTCTCATTTGGTTTGTGACACAGCTGAACATCTCAACTGGTGTGCAGCTGGTCTTGCTGCAGTGGCTTGTAATCATCTCCTTAGGTCCCTCTTGCCTCTGGGTGCCTACGGAGTGATATCTGGAGCCACCATGCGGGTGCCAGTACTGTGCTGGGCATGGCTGGTTGCATCTTGGGGAGCCTGGACACTAGACAGTGCATGTTCATGCCAGTCCATTACCCTGATGATGCACCTGCACCTTTCCAGCCTCAACGCTTTCCACTGTGTGCTGCAGGCAAGCACTGTGGTTTCATCACTTCTTGATCTTGGATGTCATGTCTCGGAGCAGAAGCCTGTGGGTTCCTCCCCAGCTACTCAGCGGTAACGATTGTGGTGCAAAAAAAATCACAGAATCATCTAGGTTGGAAAATACCTTGAAGATCATCCAGTCCAACCATTAACCTAACACTGACAGTTCCCAACTACACCATATCCCTCAGCGCTATGTCAACCCGACTCTTAAACACCTCCAGGGATGGGGACTCCACCACCTCCCTGGGCAGCCCATTCCAACACCTAACAACCCCTTCTGGAAAGAAATGCTTACTAATACCCAGTCTAAACCTTCCCTGGCTCAACTTGAGGCCATTCCCTCTTGTCCTATCACTTGTTACCTGGTTCAAGAGACTCATCCCCAGCTCTCTGCACCCTCCTCTCAGGTAGCTGTAGAGGGCGATAAGGTCTCCCCTCAGCCTCCTCTTCTCCAGACTAAACACCCCCAGTTCCCTCAGCCGCTCCCCGTACGACCTGTGCTCCAGACCCTGCACCAGCTCCGTTGCCCTTCTCTGGACACGCTCGAGTCATTCAATGTCCTTTTTGTAGTGAGGGGCCCAAAACTGAACACAGGAATCGAGGTGCGGCCTCACCAGTGCCGAGGACAGGGGTCAGATCCCTTCCCTGTCCCTGCTGGCCACGCTATTGCTGACACAAGCCAGGATGCCATTGGCCTTCTTGGCCCCCTGGGCACACTGCTGGCTCCTGTTCAGCCGGCTGTCAATCACACCCCCAGGTCCCTCTCTGACTGGCAGCTCTCCAGCCACTCCTCCCCAAGCCTGTAGCACTGCTGGGGGTTGTTGTGGCCCAAGGGCAGCCCCCGGCATTTGGCCTTATGGAAACTCCTCCAGTTGGCCTCAGCCCATGGCTCCAGCCTGTCCAGGTCTCTAAAAAAATAGTAAAATAAATAATCTCTAAATACAAGGCAAAGGAGAAAAGGAACCTGTTTCTTGGAGGAGCTGATTGTGTGAAGGATCCAGACTGCCCTACAGACCAGCACATTAAGGTTTGTCAATTCAGATATCTATATGTTGGAAAGATTTCTGAGAGCTTTGCTGTGTTGAACATGTCAGGCTCTCTTGCCCTCCCCTTTTTTGATACTAGCTAAGAAACTTAAGAAAAATAGTCACCTCCTAGAGACTGAGTCCATAGAGATACTAAATAGATCAAGGGGCGTGCTGCTTGTTGTTTCTGTTAATGTTTTATTTTACCTTAAAATCTGAAATTTTTTTTGGACAACTTAGATGCAAACTAAGTTTCTTCCTGCGGAAAACGCATTACTATGAAGAAGCACCGTGTCAAATTAAGCACGGCAGACACCCGACAGATCACAGCAAGAGGTCAGTGTTGAGCCACACTAGCACATACCGGGAGGATGCTCTGCAGCCTGGTCCCCGGCCGATGGCTCTGCAGCCACCGGGGAATAAAGGCCGCAGACCCAAGGCGTAGGGGACATCTTTATTGTGATTGTGGGCAAAGTCCCACTGTAACCCCACTTATGTGTTCTCCTGCAAGGTTTCTGCTCCCTTTGTGGACTGAGGTTTTAACCAGGTTGTAGTAACTTGTCGACGTGGGGCTGTGAAACAATGATGCATGTCTGGTTTTGCCTGCAAATGCCACTTACTTGGCATGCAGATCATGGTTTTGGTGGGTACCAAGGGTGGTACAGACAAAACTTATGTCCAGAGAAGGGCAACAAAGCTGGTGCAGGGTCTGGAGCACAGGTCGTACAAGGAGCGGCTGAGGGAACTGGGGGTGTTTAGTCTGGAGAAGAGGAGGCTGAGGGGAGACCTCATCGCCCTCTACAGCTCCCTGAGAGGAGGGTGCAGAGAGCTGGGGATGAGTCTCTTGAACCAGGTAACAAGTGATAGGACAAGAGGGAATGGCCTCAAGTTGCACCAGGGAAGGTTTAGACTGGATATTAGGAAGCATTTCTTTCCAGAAGGGGTTGTTAGGTGTTGGAATGGGCTGCCCAGGGAGGTGGTGGAGTCCCCATCCCTGGAGATGTTCAAGAGTCGGGTTGACATAGCGCTGAGGGATGTGGTGTAGTTGGGAACTGTCAGTGTTAGGTTAATGGTTGGACTGGATGATCTCCAAGGTTCTTTCCAACCTAACTGATCTTGTGATTCTGTGAAGAGTCAGACCAGTGAGGTCAAAGGGCTGGTACAGCTCAGCAGAGATATCTGAGAGCTGGGACAGCCGCCTAAGCCCCTGTTTCTATCTCCTCCCCACCCTGAGGTGGCTGTAAAGCACCACTTGTAGCTGTTGGGAGGGCATGGCAGGGCAGCAGTCCTCCTTGCTATGCCTGTGTGCAGATGATGTTGAAAGGCTTTTTAAACTCAGTTCTTTCTAAATAAAATGCCTTTGTGCTAAATGTCTGGATAAAGATGTCAGGCTTTTTGTCTATAATGGTCTTACAGTGAGAACCTGTAATTTATTTAGTGGTATTTTCTCCATATTCTTTCACTTACACACCCAAAGGACTACCAAACACCTTCCCTACCTGTTCCAGGAAAGAATGAGACAGAAAAGCAACCAGTAATATATCTGACTGTATTTCAAAGTTGTTGATTGTAAACAAACTTTGTTGAAGAAATAAAATCACATGACAAGATATCAGAGTGATACTATAAATCCATTTTGTTATTGTTGCCACACTTCACATTTTTGGAACTCAGAATTTAGCTCATGGTGTACAAAACTTGTAAAAATTTATTGCAAGCGTGCCTTTGTGTAGAACAAAACTGGTGTCACAAGAGTAGTTCCCTGTCCCATGCAGGAACACAGTTGTGTATCTCTTACTCTGAAGAGGTCACACACCTGCATTTCCTGAAAGACTTGGCTGTTACAAAATTGCTCTGAGAAGTGGTTGTTTGTTTTTTTCTTTAAAAAAAAGAGAAAACCAAAAGCAACTGCAGTGTATGCTTTACCTCTGGAATCTACACTTTCAAAGGAAATCTTCAGATTTATAAAGAATATGGAACTTTGCAACAGAATTACAGTCACTGATGTTGTGAGCACAGCCCGCTGGAGTCATCCTGAAAGTACTCAGCCAGCTAAGGCCCATCTTTGCATTTGGTACTCTCACTGCATTTGATGGAAGGTAATTTGCACATACTGAAAAAAATGAAAACAAAACGTAGACGGGGAGCTTCCTTTTCCAGAATCCCCACTTTTCCTGTTTCTACTGTGGCACTTACTCAGACTGCTGCTTCCACACTGCGCTGACATGCAGCAGTGCTTTGACTCCAAGGTTGATGACTACTGAACACGTATAGTATAAGGAAATGCATGGAGTGAGGCCAGCGATGCAGCTGAAGCAGGGTTTATGTTGCTAAAGCAGCTGTGCAGACTAGTGGTGTTAAACAGCAGCCTTTTTTAATTTAAAGGCAACAGGGGAGGGGAGTAGGCATGCTGGAAGGATGAGTTAGAAGGGATCACCTGGCTCCTCTCCCTCTGCATGCCCAACCTCTGAGCTTTCCTCTGCCTCCTCAAGGCTGCTACTCCCCTTAAACTCCTCCTTGTATCAAACTGTGCTGACCAGCCTCACCTACACAGGATCAGATTAATCTCTGGCATAAATCTGAGTTTTGCTGTCTCTCATCTCACCCCAGATCATGGGGTCAAGTTATTTTTAATTTCAGTACTGAAATACCAGGCAAAGAATTGGCTTACAACTAGAAGAAAAATCCAGGTTGCAAATGTAAGTCCAAGAGACCTGCAATTTGTTTTTCATCAAATGAGCAAGTCCATTTCATAGAGAGGTGTGAATTGTTCAGCAGTCACATTTTGCATACACCTTGACACAGATTAATTGGAGAACAAGACCAAAAAGTTACTTTGACACCAAGTGAGTTGGGGTTCTGGATAGATGAACCTAGTGTACTGGGCTTTGCTTTTTGGTTTCTAGGCTTTTTTGGTAATTAGTGAAAACAGGACCAAATGCTCTGAAGTCCAGAGCATGCTGTAAATACTTGAAGAGTGAAAGCATCTGCCAGCTTTTGTTTTAGAAACAGAGTTGCCAGGGCTGGAAGCAAACTGTATGGGCCTGGCATCTTCCCTTCCCTAGTAAAACTTATAAGACCAGCTTGAGTAGAAAGTCTGTTTGTTCAAGAAGCATGGACGCCAAATTGGACTCATCTCTCCCCTCTCTGTTTATCCAATCAGGTCCTGCACATTGTGGCCCTACCGGTTGGCATTACGGTCCTTTCCCACTAGGTTCTTCATCCAGGTCTCCCATGCATTCAAGGGTTGTTGCAGTTACATCAAACGAGCACTGGTGACGCAGGGTGACATTCTCATGGATAAGATTTTTGCACTACACATCGTGTGGACCACCTTGACATCTAATACAAGCAATTATTACTTCAGAAGAGCGATACAAAAGGGATTTACCACTTAAGGCCTTTTCGTGATACCTAACAGCTGTTCACCAGACCCATCAGAGTGGAAGGGCTTAAAAAAACCCAAAACACCAAAAGACTCCCCAGATCATGTCAAAGGCCCCTCTTTGACAGTGATACAAAGCTGAGGAATGTTACAGCCATTCCAATGGGAGCAGTGGGTGTGGTGGCATGATACCTGTTTTGGGTCCATATGAACCTGACAGGCAGCACTAATGGGGCAAAGCAGGCAACACCTTCACAGTGATTGCAATTGGTATAGGCTTCAGAAACAATACCCTGTTTCATCTGAGATTTGTGAAATAGCAGACAGGATCAGCAAAGTAATACTTTAAAAGTAAACTGAAAGGCCAACTCTCTGTGTGGTCACCTCTTCCAGACTGACAAAGAACCTGTGAGATGATTTGGATGTTCTCTAAGCCCATGGAATGAGGGAAATAATGGAAAACATAAGGCAGGGAACTTCTTCGGAACTAGATTACTGAAGACACAGAGCCATCTCTCAAAAGAAGAGGAAGAGGCCCTTTTGTACAAAGCACAGATATTCTCAGCTGTTCCCCAACAGTGAAATGATGATATGGGGGCTTTTCCAGTTCATGCTGTTTCTAGAAACAAAGGTAGGTTTTTACAAGAAGGATTATCTATCAAGTAGCACTGGTGATAGGCTTGCATTTAAGCAGGTGTGATCTGTCTGTGCAAAATATCCTAGTTAATGACAGGCCAAATATATACATGTTTTGAGCTTAGAAGTTCCTTGCCTTTGTGAAACTTTGCTAACAGTCCTTTGACACCTCAGTGTTCTCAACCAGACTGAGATGAGCTCTTGTTTTACAAACACCTCATCTCACATCAGTCCTAGCAACAAGAAAGTGTCATGGCAAACTCTACAACAGAGGTGGATGGAAGACTTCATACTCCATCTAAGCCTCAGTGACTTTTCCCAAGCCAGTAATTATTCATCTGAATTCCACATTGGTTACTGGACTATAGCAGAACTTCAAATTCTCCATTTATCTCCTCTAAGCTACTTTAGACAGGTTGGGCTGCTATGTTTTATCCAGTTTTCTCTTGCCTTCAGTGCAACTTGGTTTTGAGTCATAGCAGCCTATATGGAGTAAGGAACATGTGCTGAACAAGTCCCACAGCCCTTACTTCAGGGTGGAATGATGCTCAGCGTACTTTCATTTCTAGTTTGGAAAAGTGCATTTGAACAAGAACCAAGTCACTGAAAATGCAGACTTAATCAGGAGGAGTGCAAACTGTACTTTACAGTTTCATCACCCCTTTACCTGTGCTGTGCCTCGGTCTCTTGATTAGGGGAGCGGAAGCTCCTATTTGAGGAGCTAATGATGTCTCATGAGTGCCGAGGTTGTTAAAGCACTTTGCAATCCTTGCATGGAAAGTAGCACAGATGCTCAGAATTACCAGTGCAGCAAAATTCCCCCCCACCACTAAAAATCAGCCCTAGGACTAGGGGACTAAGACATGTAGGCTGGAGGCTTCTTTCTCTACCCACCAGCTCAAGACAGTCTACTAAACAAATGTTAGAAGGAAAAAAAACACCTCTTCAAAAAAAGAAAAAAGCAAGCCACAGAAGTGTAGCTGGAGGTAAAGAATGAGAACACTGTTTTGAGTTGCTGTCCTTAATGTCAGTCTGGAAACAGCTAAACTCATTTTTCTCTAGAAATTGTCTGAAGAAAACAAAGTTGTACCCATTAGGAACACTGAGACTTCTATAAATTTGGATTCTTGGACTACCTTGTAAATGTAGAAGGGTTGGGGCTAGAGAATTGAAATGGAAAACGGAGATGACGTTTCTTTAACTTGTGCCCTAGTGTCAAGTGCACAAATGGGCTGAAGTAAAAAGTGGCAGAGTTTCTGCAAGCCCTTGAAGCATTTTTCAGCTGAGGCAACAGCAGTGGAAACCATTTCACAGTGTCTTCTAAGCTCTAATGAGTGTTGTATTGCACACTGGGAAAATAAATGGTTTCCAAGAATGGATTGTGGCACAACAGACATTTCTTGAAAGAAGTACTGTGCATAGAAGGTGGTCAGTATGTCTTACTGATGGTCTCAGTTCTCTGAAACAAAGTTTGCATACGATAAATAAGTAATTTTCAGTTTTCAGAAGTATGTGTGAATCAAATTTCAGTTCCGCAGGAGAGAAGCAAGGCTTGCTGCTCCCTTCTTTACTTCAGCTTCAAACTTTTTTTTCCCCTCCCAGAAAAATTTTGAGACATTCCTCTGTGACCTGGTTGGCATTTCCACTGCATTTTAGCTACTGCTGAGCTTTAAGATCTCTTACCGAGATTGTCTCAAGGCTACAAAAAAGCCCTTAAACAACCCAAACTTGCTATCATTTCACAAGCCATTGCACAATTAACACACACGCACACACTATAACTAGCATCCTTGCACTACTTTGAGACTAATCCCCCCCCCCTTTTTTTTTTTCCCCCTTTAGCTAGGAAGAAGCTTTAATGTTACAAGCAGGTGGGGAACCAAATCTGAGCAAGCCAGTTTGCAGTAAAAGAAATGCTACAGAATCTGGGCTGCAGTTAACAAAATTTTGCCTTTTAAAAATGATTCAATTTCTTCCTTAATGACTTTGCCTTGTTTGTAGTAACATAGAGAAAGTGCAAGATGCTTTTTCAACAAGGAGAAATCTTAATTTTCCCCAACCCCTATCCACTCCCAGTCAATAGATGGAAAAGATGAGGTGGGATTGTCATCTGTAGATATAGACTATGCTTTGGTGGCTTTTGATTGTTGGCTTTGACAGACAACTTTCAGGCATTTTGTACATATAAATATATATAAATATTTTCGTTTACTTATGGAATGTTTGTGCATGTTTAGGGCACCAGTTCAAAATGATGAGGGATGGTTAAGGCTAAGAAAATGAAATCCATTGCAAAGCTATAATTTTGTCTTAATTTTTCTCCTTTACAAAGGAGACTAAAGCATCTTCCCTGTAATAGTCAGCCACTGTGTAATCCCCCATCAACACCAATTCTAGGGAAAACTACTCAGGACCCAGTCCCTGAGGCAAAAAGCTAGGACCTCATGATTTTAGCTTAAGTAATCCACATAATTAACAGCATACATTAGTGGAAAGTCAAACACTCCAAGGTTTTGGACCTACTGTCACCTGAAAAAGAAAAGGCATTTTCTGTATGGGATGGCCTAGATCCAAGCCTTTAAGCATACACAGTAATGTTACAATTGGCCAAGGGCTCCAGATCTATCTCAAGAGGCTACGACATAGCTGGAGAGTGCTGTGCTTATTCCTCAGAAATGCCAAGTGGCTCCAAGGAGGTCCTGCAAACCTCCCTCTCTCTGCTGGGGGGCATGTACACCCTGAAAAGGCTCCAGCATTTCAGGAGAATGCAAGGAAGCTGGGCTCCCAGCAGCTACTGTTCATTCAAGCTGTCCCATCAGCAAAGTTCAGCCACTTTTCTTACTGCCCTAATCTTGACAATTGTATAAATTTACAGGACATAATGAACTTGTAGCCACTCTTACTGTCGCAATATAGGCTGCCATTGCCTGAAGAGGGAGCAATAAGAACACCATTTGCCTTTAGGTACCTCTATGGAATTCCCTAAAAAAAAAATTGAAACTGTGGGCTTATATTGCTGAACATTTGTTTTTCATGCCTCACACAAGCTCCTTTCTGTCTTTGAATACTTACAAGCTGACAAGAACCAGCTCACACACTCATTCTGAAGAGGGGTGGTCTCAGTTCTCTGGAGGGCCAAGAAGTTTTGAACTCATCCTTGGGCTCCTACGCAGCTTGGTATTGCCAAGGACTAGAGTGGTACAAACCACCTGCAAACCCACTGCTGTACATCATGCAGCAGGCAGAGCAGGATGTGCGGGACAGTCTCCAGGCCCTGTGGAGCTGGCTGTCCCCTCACTCTCCCTGCAACCAGCTGAGATCTGCCTCTAAGTCTACTCAAAAAAACCAAAACAAAAAAACAAAACCAAAAAAAGAATTTGGTGGAAATAGAAGGATGTCAGTGCAAGGATGCTCTTTGGGCTAGTCAGTAATTTACTAACCCCTGCTGGATTCTTCCTGTTATGATTTACATGCTATGCATTTGCACATCACATAATGATGAAATCTGGGGAGTTCTCAAATTTCTGTTGGTTACCCTCTATTGTCTCTTGCCAGATAGACACATATAACCTCGTAAAGTTGGCAGTAATAAAGAAATCAATCAATCCCTTCATTCCTCTTGAATCAACCCAAGTCATTCTTCAGTAAAACTTTTTGGGCTTGGGGACCTAAAACCAGCTGGCCCTCTAAGCAACATGGTTTCTGCCCTGTAAGTTAATGCAGTGCTGTTTGTGTCCATCTCTGCTAATCTTTAGAATACAGAGTTTTTTGCTGATTGAGTTGTGGACTGAAATCAATAATGTGTAGAGGGCAGAGTAGTATTTCACCTCAGTATCAATTCTCCCCTGTTTCAATCATACCTCTCTCTCTCAGCATTGTTTTCCAAAACTTCATCAGCCTTCAGATTCCACCAGCACCAAAAAGTTACGTTTCAGCCTTGGGCACCAGCTCGTGACAACACTTGTCCTCTACAGTGTTACTCAGGGCAGGAGAACTCTTTGGGTTTGCTGTTTTAGTGAGGTTTAAGGTCTGGTTGCAACTGGACTTCTTTCTTTGAGTAAAACACAATACTATGTTATTTTGCTAAACATGTAACCTGCTTAATTACAACTACAGTGACAAGCCCTGAATTCTAACAGGACAAATTCCTATGGAACACCCCTGCAGTGATAATGGGAAACACACTGCTATTAGTGACTTATTTTTTTCTTGCCAACTGTGTGCCAAATGAAGTTCTAAAATGGACAAAAAAAGTCTTGACAATTAAAAAAGGAAAAGAAAGAAATTGTTGTTCCTAAAAACTTAACAGTCCATTACATTAGATTTTTAAGCAACATTTAAGATACAGTTGAAATCAAGAAAAAATATAATTGTTATACTCTGATTTCTCACCTGTACACCAACCGTGGCAGTTAAGATGTGAGGCAGTATTACTTACTGGTTTACTCACTGTTAATACTTACAATATTACTCACTGTTTGTGTACAAAATGTTTCATCCTGGCTAAAAAAGAAAATCAATGTAAAGTATTTCCATTTTAAATTCATTAATGTATTTGGTTTCTCCTACTTCTGCTGTGTTCTAACCAAAAAAAAAAAAAAAAAAAAAAAAAAAAAAAAGGAAAAGTCTTAATGGGTCCTCAGTTCCTGGCTGACTGCCTGTGGAGGTTTTGTTTGTCAATAGGCTCGCTTCAGTGTTCGTGCACCTGAACTGCTTTGTTTAGCACACTGGGAGGACAGCAGTGATGCCTTACAGGATGCTGGCACTCTCCACCACAGCCCATGGTGCAGACTTGTGTTGTGTGTCTCAGAATTGAGTAACTCCAAGCAAGGTATAGAGTTTTCTCTAATGCCCGCCTAGGACTGCTGAGCTATGTCAGCTTATGACAAGCTCTTAGCCCAAGAGGAACTTTACAGTATGACCCTGTTCAACAAATAGTATTGAGATGACAACTAATTTAAGTCTGTTTCTGGTATACAGATTCACACAGGGCATTCACATATGCAATTTCATGTCAGCTTTTCCAGTGGCACTTTCTGCAGGACATGTTTACATCCAGCTGCTACTAGGAACAAAGTTTCCACCTCTCTAGTGGCATCACTTGGCATTTTTGGGTAAGGACAGCACTGGTGGTATCACAAGTTCCTTGCTTTGCTGTTCCAGGTGTGGTATTATCTTCTGCTTACCCTCCACCTCCTGCCTATGCCACCAAGAACAATGCATCAATGGGAGGGTGAGGTGTCTTCCAAGCCCAGAAGCTCCTTTACAAGTCTTTCACCAAACTGTGCACGGCTATACCTTGTCACATGGTAGGCCTCTGACATTTTGTAGAGGATGTAGGCATTGTTTATAGCGATGCTGATGGCAAACCAGAATACTTGCTGCCAGGTCTTGTTTGGTTTGTGAGAAATGAAATACCTAAAAAGCCAAGAGAGAAGGGGAGGGAAAAACACTGTTCAGCCAAACTCTTGCAGCTGGGATGCAAGAAATAATCCCAAAGATCCTGCAGTCCCAAAGGGCAAGCAGGCCAAGGACTTAAAACCTAGTGAAAGCATCATCTTAAGAAACATTGTACAATGTATTTCACAGTCATTTACAGTTAAGTTGCACAACTTTGGAAATTTCTAATAGCGTCTAAAATAACAGACTTCCTTGCTCTCGGATGCAAAACCTCAGCAACACCTGTACGACACCACATAAGAGTACCAATACAAACTCCTTGAGCTCACCTGTGACAAACATCCTCGTGATGGCAGCTATGGGTCTGAATCCCTTCAATTTGTAACTAAAAAGCCCTCATGCACATTACATTACAGTTTAGGGAAGACTGCTGATGCTTCTCTTCTTGTTTATCCCTATTCCATGCAAAGAATGATTTCTGCTGCTGTCAACAGTAGGTGGGAGGATGTGGGAGTACAGCCAGTGTGTGTAGTGCTGTTATGTGGAACACCTCTCCATGAGGCAAGATTAGAAAGGACTGACATCCTTATATTTAGGTTCTGACTAATTCTAGGACCACCAGAATATTCGCTCTTCAGTCACAAGATTTCCCACTTTCCTACTTTTCTTTCATTATTTTTGTAACCATTTAAACCTCACCTCTTTTTCATATTGATTTCCTCAGACCAGATCCCAACATCAGTCTCCAGTAGCCACCTCCTCCTCTTTCACCTCTTCTACTGAATTCTTGCTGCCTTGCCCAGAACTGGCTTGGAAAATCCCCACTGCTTTTTCTCTCCTCAATTTTAAGTTCTTGAAATCTGCACTTCATCACTATTCCCACAGCCAATCTTCACCACTGCTATTCTCACTTATTACTGTTTCTACCTGCTACATTAGGAGCTAATGCTGAGGACCCCAAATGGAATTCAGGAGCCAAAAGATCTACATTTTACTCTCCCAGATCACGTAGACCTGCTTTACATCCACAACTGAATGTCATTTTCTTCAGGCTCCAGGTGACAGAGTATCACTGGGACAGATAACCACCTAAACACCATCTGCTGATAGCAGTGGAGAGCTGAGCTAGCCTGAGACTTGTCGGACTGGTAGATCTCTGTTGAATTCTCTATTTAGCCTTCAATTTGATGTGGACAAGAACATCAGCCTGCTGACTCATCTTCCCAACTTCTTAAAAGTCATCTGCAAGATTCTAAGAATGTTAAGTCTCAAGGGGTTTTTGACTGGTGGATGAGTAGATAGCAATGCAGCTCTTGCCCTTGTGCAGAGCCAGATTCAGATCTTTGACTGAAACAGGATTTTTCTCAGAGATATATTCTGTGAAAGCAGGATTGGCCCCTCAGTTGCAGCTCACCATGGAGAATTCAAATATTGCTGCAACAAAGAATGAGAGAAAGAAATACATGCACACACACCCCCATATCCTTACTTACTTGCTGTATTTGTCGTCGTATTTGCAGATATAGCTAAGGTGAGCAGCAAAGGCTTCAACTGCCAATGGGCATGGAATTTCTCCACTTTTTCTCTTAATTATAACTCCTGCATCAATTAGAAACACAACAGTTTTAAATCCATATCATATATCTAGCAAAAAGATACAGTTTCTATATATGGTTTATTATAAAATAAAACTTATTGGCCGTTTCTGACCTAAAACTGGGAAGCTATCTGTCAGAGATGCTAATGTCTTGGGTTTTTTTCCATTAGTCATGCACTGAACAGCTTATCTCCACCCTTGGGGGCCAAAAGAAACAGTACCTCCACTCCACTGGGTGATAATTGACAAAGAAAAGAAAATACAAGAAGCAGCACACTGGCTAAACACAGTCAAGACAGAGGTGATGCTGGCGGGTGAGTTGAAGGAGCCACAACCACAGTATCTTTGAAATGAGAAACAGCCTGATTCACTGCTGAGGGGAGCCAGAGCTCAGATGTACACTTATGTTGCTCAGTGGAGCTAAGTACACATTTCTCTGACTGCAAGTGATGTTTCTGCACCCTCAGTAAGTTGCAGATGACACCAGGTTGGGTGAGAGTGTTGATCTGCCCGAGGGCAGGGAGGCTCTGCAGAGAGACCTGGACAGGCTGGAGCCATGGGCTGAGGCCAACTGGAGGAGTTTCCATAAGGCCAAATGCCGGGGGCTGCCCTTGGGCCACAACAACCCCCAGCAGCGCTACAGGCTTGGGGAGGAGTGGCTGGAGAGCTGCCAGTCAGAGAGGGACCTGGGGGTGTGATTGACAGCCGGCTGAACAGGAGCCAGCAGTGTGCCCAGGGGGCCAAGAAGGCCAATGGCATCCTGGCTTGTGTCAGCGATAGCGTGGCCAGCAGGGACAGGGAAGGGATCTGACCCCTGGACTCAGCACTGCTGAGGCCGCACCTCGATTCCTGTGTTCAGTTTTGGGCCCCTCACTACAAAAAGGACATTGAAGGACTCGAGCGTGTCCAGAGAAGGGCAACGGAGCTGGTGCAGGGTCTGGAGCACAGGTCGTACGGGGAGCGGCTGAGGGAACTGGGGGTGTTTAGTCTGGAGAATTGGAGGCTGAGGGGAGACCTCATCGCCCTCTACAGCTACCTGAAAGGAGGGTGCAGAGAGCTGGGGATGAGTCTCTTGAACCAGGTAACAAGCAATAGGACAAGAGGGAATGGCCTCAAGTTGAGCCAGGGAAGGTTTAGACTGGATATTAGGAAGCATTTTTCCAGAAGGGGTTGTTAGGCGTTGGAATGGGCTGCCCAGGGAGGTGGTGGAGTCCCCATCCCTGGAGGTGTTCAAGAGTTGGGTCGATATGGCACTGAGGGATCTGGTGTAGTTGGGAACTGTCAGTGTTAGGTTAATGGTTGGACTGGATGATCTTCAAGGTATTTTCCAACCTAGATGATTCTGTGATTCCTGCCCTTCCTGGTCAGCTGGCTAGATAATTCAGCTCATCACAGGGTATGATTATCCTGCCTACTGCAGAAATCTGTCACCTGCAACTATCTACCAACCAGTGCCTGCATAGACAAAGGTGTGGTACCTAGAGCAGGTTACTCCAAGAATGGGCCCCATTCCTTCACATGGTGCATATTTGACCTGGCCTCCTCCAATACTACAGCAATATTTACGAGTTCAATGCTCTCCCAAGAAACTCCCATAGCTCTTCTCTGATTTACTGCTCCTGTCCTCCATGTTTTCCCCATCCAGGGGAAGCTCCTTGTAAGAGGGAAGAATGAGTTAAACAAACTTATAGTACAGGAGTTTGTTCCTTAACTTTTGACTTTATGTCCACTTAGGGTTTGATGGTCAGCTCTCAAAAGTACAGATCACCCCTTGCTCCCTGTCTATGGCACACCATCTAGTGAGGATCCCTACTCTCTCCCAGGCACAACATTATTTTTCTCCATGTCTAGAGAAGCACAGACTTGGTTGCATCCTTTCTCAGCATTGTTTCAGTACAGGTACAATTCTGGGCTTTCTCATTTCCGAAGCCTGCAAACTCTTATTGCCTTCCTTCTGCCAACTCTTTTACAATCATCCCTAAAATGCTCCTCACGTTTTCATTACAGACTTCACCATTTCATTCCTTCAGCTGGAAGTCTCATACCATCCATTATCTCTGTCAAGTCCCTGTGCTGTCCTAGCTGACAGGCTCTATTTTGAAGCAAGACTTATGACATATACTAAATGTCATGTTACAGCTGAGCCATGCAGCAATTTATTTGGGGCCTTTAAAGTCTGATTTTTCGAGTCCAAAATGATATCACCTCTAAATTGTTCAATACACTCTCCTTTCACCTCTGCTTTCCCAAGCTGGGTGTAAATGTAGCCCAAGGGGAGAGGAAAAAAAACAGTCAAATAAATAAATCCTTCATTACATTAAAAAAAATTATTATAGTGCTTTTTTGATCCTTTTAATGAGTTCAACAAAATTCTGGCCAGCATGAGCTAAAACAGGCTGATATATCACCAGCCTGATATATCACCAGCCTGATGCATCAATGCTGCAAAATCACTTGCCATCCCACCTGGGCAGGTTAGGAAAGGGTAAATATGTTCCTGGTGCCAGCGTTTTACAAAAAAAGTCCCCTTCTTTCTCCTTCTCTTTGGAGGATTTATATTTACTTTACAATCTGCTTTGTATTCACAATCCTTAAAAAAAAAAAATGCATTTCAGTAGCAGCGACGTGGGTACCATATACTCCCTCTCACTTTCTATTATATTCCACGTAACATTCCTTTGTTTTAAGAATATAAATAGCTTTACAGGCACATTATTCTTATAGCCTTTCCTAGGTTTGTTTTGTAGCCATAGACCACCTCTCCAGGGAAGACAACTGCCAGAGCTGGGTCATTCCTAGCTGCAGGTCTCTGACAAGCAGTCTCAAGCCAGCTGACTCACCAGCACTTCCAATGAGCTATTTCCCCTCCTGGTCCTCCTCCAGCATCACTGTGCTCCCATCCCTGGCAGCACTACAGGGAACACAGTGTCGGTGGGTCCGGCTGCCGGCCTCCATGCCACCACTGTAGACAGGCATCAGCTTTTAGTTTTGGGGGTTTTATTTTTTAAAAAAGTTTTTAAGCTTTATGCTTGTCAAGCAAAGCTTGGGAAATACCATCCCAAATGAAAAAAAGCAGAAAAACGAAGGTGCACATATGTTTGTTTCCTCAAAACACTTATTCTAAGCCAATCTGTAATTTTAGGTGCTAGAATCATGTTTTTTAAAATGGAGGCTCAGCAATACTGGCAGTTGCATCCACCTTGGCAAACACTGAGATTGCGTAACATGATATAAGAGAGGGGGCACTACATGATCCAAGTGCTATATGGCTTTTTATCAGGACTTAAGATTTGTTACAGTTCTTAATCAGAATTGCAGACAGTCAGCATTGTACAAGGTCTTCCCGTAAGAGTCCTCCGGCCCCATCCCCACTGTTACCATACTTGGACACAACTCCCTGAATGCAGTCTCACAAAGGATACATGAAAATTTAAAGTTAAAACCCTAAGCATCCCTGTCCTGAAACATACTTTTTGACACTGTGTTTCTTTCCCCAGACTTTCCAGTTCTGGCCCAGTCTCCCAAGATGATATTTTCAGAAAACTAGACTGTCACCAAACATTCCTCACTCCAGCTTCTCTTGGGCTAAGAACCACAGAAGGACTTATACAACTGCTTCACACAATTGTGATGCCTCTACAACATCTCCCATCTTCTCCCAAGTCACTGGTGAGATGTCAACAAACCATTTGCAGCTCTTTAGTCCTTGCCTTTTTTCTATCCTTAGCTATTGTCTGTTTAGTAGAGCTGGTTGGTGAAGAGCAGCAGTTATAACTCTCCTCACAAAGAAGCTACTTCTTAAAAAGATCTTGGGTTCAATGAGTTTTTGCTAAAGATGTCATTCTGGTCATCCTGCTATGCAGCAAGTGAGGTTGCTTCCTGCTCCATTCTGCTTCATATGAAAAATAGAGAAGATTGTAGTTATTTCTAGAACATAGTAGTGGAGATACTGCAAAACTGGGAACAGAACTAGAGTGGAAAAACAAAAATGCAGCCTTATCCCACAGATGGGGAGGTTTGGGCCAGCACATACATCACCTGCTTTAGAATAAGGGTAACTTTTTACTCTCTGGGGGTTCCAATCTCTTTCGGTTTCTCAGTTCTTCTGCAATATGGGCATAAGGAATACAGTAAACTCAAGTTAAAGCTTAAGGGAAATTAAAAACCCCACTGAATTTTGTTCTAGGCAGAAACTTTATAATTAATAGCGGAGTAAGCAGGTCATTTTTGCAAGACTAAAGGAATAAGACTCATCCTTTAGTATCTAAGATGATGTATCATGACACACTGGTTCAAAACATGCATAATAAATAACCTGCTGCATCTAAGAATAGTATTCATAGATCAGCTCTGACAAGTGTACTGCCCTCCTGGTGCCTCTGGCTTGGGTGGGATTTGCACTCTGAGTACAGGCAAGATTTATCTTCTCAACTTTTCTTTAAATTGCAATAAATAGCTCATTATTAGCTACATCTACCTCCTAGTCTCATCCTAAGTTTTGTTTTGATCATCTCTTGACTTTTGTTTTTAAGTTTTTCCTCTTCACGGCCTCCTCCGCCCCTGTCAACATTTATACTCAACCAAGTACAAACACGCACCATGCATTGTCAGGAGATCCCACTGGCGCCAGTCTCTGTCCAACTACCCTGCCTGGGTTTAATTCCCCTTTGTTCCTACCTCCTCTCCCACCTAACACAGATGCTCAGCAGGTCTGTGCTACAAGGAGCATAGATTCCTCCTCTTCTTCCTCTATGTTTACATGCCTTAGAGGACACTTTGGCAGTCCACCTTCAAGTTGGTTTAAACTAGCTTTGCTGCACTGACTTCGGAGATGCCAAATGAGAGGCAGGCAATCTGGTCTCCTGCCTTCCTACTGAGTCTCCATCTGTTCCCAGTTCTCCACTAGAGACTCTCTTCACCCCAGCACCACTCTTTAAAAAGCCAGTCTCTGTTTTCTGCTCTGATTCACTGTGAACTATGTCAACTGTCCCAGCCAGCAGTTGGGGAACGATGTGTTGGGCAGGTCTTGCCCATCACACACATGGGTCCTAATCAGTGGACGTTAAACTACCTCACACATGCAACCTACAATCCCATCTTTGCCAAAACAGACCCAAGGTCAATCACAAGCACAACAGCTCATACTGCTGTGCACTGCTTGTAAAGGATGTTGCCAGAGCAGAGTCTGCTTTTGCTCCCTCTTTTAATGAGGCAGTTAACACTGATGTTTACAGAGTATTTTTATAGTAAAATTTATTAATTATAACCAAATGGTCTGGGCTAGCCTATAGAACACAGGTGACATGTTGTGATAACCCTTGTTCAGTTAGTGCAGCTGAATAATCTAAATCCAGCAAAGCGCACAAGGGAAACAGCACAAATCCTGATGGCAAACACCCCTCATGGGGTGCAATGCTTCTCCAGGGACTGGTTTCAGAAGGGTTCCCAAAGTGTCCTATTTCCTTCACATACATATTTTCAGCATTTGTGCTCAGACACCAGTCCCTCTGAGTCACCAGCAGAATTTCTCAGGATCAGCCATGCCTTGCTAAGGTAATGAGCCTCCTTGCAAGGCACTGAATGACACACTAAGTCAACTTCTCAGCTCACCATACAGTAATTCAAAGCCTTGACTTTGCTTCTCTAGCCTGAGAGAATCACTCAGGATACGAGAGTCACTCAGGATTCAGAACATAAGTTTATAAGATGACTTTGAATTGGTGGCTTTACTTTTAAAGGTTTAGGTTATTCTTATTTGTCTCAGGCACTTATATATAAATTTGAACAATAAAAATGAGAACAAACTGAAACAAGATTTTCACTGAAAGATGAGTTTCAAAGAGTTACCTAATCACATTGCACGTTACAGAAGTTTTCAAATCTTTTTAAAACTACCTGTATACTTTTGAAAAGGAAAAGGTTTCAGTGTCAAGAAGTTCTTTTCAATTATTTCAACTATCCAAGTTATCTGTTTTGGTTTCTCTTCAGCAACTGCTAAAATCAATTTAACATAGAACAGGAAGCCTTAATCATATACTTCTGGCAAAAAGACGTTTGTTTGTGACTAAGTTTTTACTGGATAAATTAACCGTAGGATCTGCTGGGAGTTCTGAGTACATCATGATGCCACAAGCTCAGGGAAAGGAGGCTGCATTAGCAGTAGGATTTTAACCTCTGTATAGGAAACAAGAATAGCTGTAAGAAGACACAAAAGGGAAGTAATCACTACTGCTCCTGTTTATCTAGAATATTATGACCAAGCATTTTTGTTCAGGCTTGTTATCAAACTCAGTGACACATTTTGCCCTGTCACATTAAGCATGTGCACTTTCAACACGAGCAGTAGGAATGTTGCTTACCTTGTTGAACCGGTGAATAGGCATTGGTCAGAAAACGAAAGTGCCCTTTATTGTACCAGCAGATCAAGGACATGTTTCCCTTCATTCTTATTCTGTACTGTCCTCTGGACTGGGGAGTTTCAGGATTGTTCAGCATGGATGGAGGTAGGCCTGTGCAGTCACTTTTCCTGGTGCTCAGCAAACCACAGCAGTAAATCTCTGCATGTGAAAAAAAAAGCCCACTCCTTATCAGCAAGTCATTGCATGGATCCAGAAAGCATGAGCAGTGGAGGAAGTCTGATCGACCAGACTAGAGGAAGAGCTTGTCCTACAGCTTTCTAGTCCAACAGATATGTTAGCCAACTGGCCTTCTCCTGCAATACCAAAGATTTGTGTCGTACATGAATGACTTTAGAAACAGAGACAAGCACAGAAAGCCTGCTCTCTTGATGAAATGTATTGACACCTCCTGCACAGTCATGATGAGGTGACAAGAAGAAGAATTCAGGGTATCTTCCCAACAATTACATCTATTATCTGTGTAACAGTCTTCATAACATGTTTAAAATTGGACTAAAAAGACCCCAGTGGTGATATACATTACGGAACAAATCAGAATTTATGATCCATGAGAGTATTTGATGTTTAAATAAGAGAATAAATTGTGGAGGGAGCAGGGAAGTAGGGAAAGCTATATCATCTTAGATGTTAACTGAAATAAATTCTCCTACATGACGCTCATGATGCTTTCAATCACAATACACATGGCTGAAACTCTGGTTTAATCTCCTGCTTCACCTTGCTGCCCAGCTCTTCATTTCAGCTCACTAGTCCTTGCACCTGCATCAGATTTGTTAAGGAAGCCCTGCTTCAGCAATTAAGAACCACTGAAACCACCAGCTGAATTAAACACACACGTGCCAGAAGGACGGAGAGTATAGAAATATAGATTCAATGAAAATATATTTTAGGGAAAGGAGATAAACCAGTGTCCTAGTTGAGTGAGCACTCATCTTGCCCTGCACAGACATCAGAGGCTCCACAAGCAACACATTCTGCTTCTCACAGCTTCTTGGCCTTTTCATATGTGAAAGAGGCAACGAATTAAATCTAACACCATAAAACACATCTCAATGCAGCCAGGTGGGCACAAACAAGATTCGGAAACAACATTAATAATGACAATGCTTGAATCTGGCATTAGGCTGTGAAATAATAATGGCCTGTTTCTGTTAGTCCAAGAGAAGCAGATAGTCTTGATCAAATTAACTGAACTCAAGGAAATCTTGGATGGAAATTTCCTCAGTTTCCATAGGTTTTGTGTTAACCCACCTGAATGGAAATAAAGCCATGGGCACGGAAGCAGGTGACATCCGTGCACATCTTTCATATGGCAGCAGAGGATTGTGGTAGTTTAAAGCTCATCTGTCAGCTAAGTCTGCTTGTTCGAATTTTTCATCATGCTGAATTTTGCATATTGGATAACTGGATACCCTCTCAGGAGAAATGTTAAGTCAGACTACAGTGTCTGGCTTCCCCTGAGCACCTCTGTTCTTGGGTTTCCACTTCTGACTGTCTTTCTGGAATGACCTAAACTCTTGAGTGCCGGTCCAGCCTTTGTCCTTGGTTCATATAGAGCCTGGCATTTTGAGCATCCCCTCAACAGCTCACAGATACTACAGGAATACTAATATAATAATTGCTAATACTCATGAATAGGTCTAGTTGCTGTAGGCAGGTCTACAAGGAGCTGAACAAATTTAAGACATCCATGTCAGAAGAAGGTCAACCAACACAGCAATGGGTCAACTTCATTCTGAAGGAGGAAATCTGCACTCCATTGGTTATTTCTAATGAATTAATCAGTCCCTGGAAATCCTTGTTACTTTTTACAAAAGGCAACACAGAAAAACCTAGTGGCAACAGGCTTACAATCAATATAGGAGGAACTGCATCTCCAGTTGAAGGTTTAGGGTTTTTTTTTCATTTCTTGTCTTGCTAAGAAGTACACAAATGGTGTAGGTCACATACCTGTAAACTTTGGCATTAACACAGAAAACTTTTAGAAAACTTTCTTCTAGCCAATATTAAGATCTTCCTGCTCTGATAAGAAAAGAGCCTGAGAAGATCTTCCTTAGCTGCTTGAAGTTTATGACTCACTGATGGGTGATACTCTCTCCAGGAGACTGCAATGGTATAAAACCAAGCTAATAACTACATTATTGTGCTAGAGCTTCAAAATAGCAACAGCCGTCTCTGAGAAGCCATAATAATTAATTGTAGCCTTTCATTTAGCTCAGGCAATAAGCCTGCAGAAAGCTTCCAGCAGATGTTTCACTTCTCATACAGAATAATGGGAACCATTCTTCTCTGAGGAACACACTGTGTAACCTTCCTGCTGTATAACCTAGAAAAGTGCAGCACTTCTGCAGATTTACTAGTATCTCTCACCATGGATGACACCCGTAAGCTGTAGTTTTTTAAAACCACCCAGTTACTATAGCAATAGAAGCAATAAAACTTATGCCCATCTGGCTCAATGAAGTTTTTGTGTGTAATTAAATCAGAGTCACAACAGGTGTTTGCAACACACGCTGGAGTCAGTGGAGACAGCTTGCCCTCCTCTGGTCTTCTTAAAGTGTAGCTGCAATATAAATGTATACACCTAAACTAGCTGAACAAAGATGAGGAAATGTGGTGTAGTCATCCAAGATTCATTCCCAGGGTCTCCAGACCCCAGAGAGCTTGTGCTGAAGCCAAGCCTGTTTCACCACATCTTCATCGGCACCATTTGCAAAGGCAGCCAGGCTCAAGCTAGTTCAGGCAAAAATACACATTCTGCAATCATTTATCCTGCATACAATGCTGGGTCAAATCAAGAGCTAGGACAGCTGAGGGGCCTGTTGTGGGAAGGAGATGACAGCTTGCTTTAGTTTGTGTGCTGGAGTTGCAGGATCCTGCAAAGCTTGTGGGAGCACCATGGTCGCCCAGGCTGGCAACTCCTGCAGCATTGCCAACCTCAGCCACTCCGCGGGCAGAGCTAGATGCTCCTGTTGGTTCAGAAAGTGCAAAAGAGACTTTTGGGGATCATATGTTTCAGGGAAGCACAGGACACAGGGCTTTAAGAGGTGCTGTATTTTGTAATGGACAACACTAATGCTTAGAGGGGTAAAGAAGGAATGTGCACTATGAATCAGGGTCACAGCAAGTAACTATAACTGCTGTCTGCTTGCAGAACAGAAAATCTGGGTCATTTCAGTGCAGGTTTCCAGTTCTATTCAGAGGCCAGAGAAAGAAATGCTTTGTATGTCTCCTGAAAAATAAAAATGAGGTCTATTCAGGTTTTTGAATTTGAAAAAGATCAAAGTGCCCTGTCTTATTTTCTGAAGTTCTCAGGTCTCGGTATCTTCATAGATATTAGAATTATGTTCACCGACATCCCTTTATATTACTAGGCATATATTCTCTACTGTGGTACAGTGAAGGTGCTACACAGCAGGCTTTCAATAAAGAACACTGTGGGTTTTGCAGAAATGCACGTGTGGGTTAGGAAAAGCAAATGATAGTAAGGTTCCACAGAAGTCGTCATAGGATCACAGGATCCTATGGATTAAAGGATAATTCAGGTTGGAAGACAACTCTAGTCCTATCCCCTGCTCAGAGTAGGGTCAGCTCTGAGGTCAGACAGGACTGCTCAAGGCTTTATCTTGTCTGGTCATGAAAGGACAAAATAAAGGACAGCGACTGCACAACCTGTCTGGGCATCCTGCTCCACTGCCCTCAGGAAAAACCTTATATCTAGTTTGAATGACTTCTTTTGTTTCAGCTTATGTCAGTTCTTTTTCATCCTTCCATGATGCACCACCATTAAGAGCCACCTCCATCCTCTTGATAACCTCCTCAGGGTAGCAAAAGGCTGTTGCTGGGTCCCCCTGAAGCCTTCTCTTCTCAGGCTGAACAAGCACATTTCCCTCCCCGTAGCAGAGCATGTGTTCCAGACCCTGGTCAGGCTGGCGGTCCTCTGCTGAACTTCAGCTTATCAGTGCCTTTCTTGTACTGGGGGGTGTGTTGTCCAAAACTGTGCTGAGTAGGAGGCAATAATCTCCTCCCTCAATCTACAGGATATGCTCCTGTTAACACAGCCCAGGGTAGTGCTGACCATCTTTTCTGCCAGGGCACACTGCTGACTCATGTTCAACTCACTGGCTACCAAGAACCCAGGTCTTTTTCATCAAGAATTTTGAGAGAAACTAACACATTTTTTTAGTGGATGCCTCTTTCTAGTTCCCTTTAGTTCCCTTAAATGTCAGTGTAGGTTCCCCAAGGTTTCTAAGTATTAGCTTATTTAAATCTTCCTCTATTCCTCTGCTGATAGTCACAAAAAAAACCCAAAAACAACCAAAAACAACCCAAACCACATAAAGCAGTTAAGAGCAATACCAATTTATTTTCATTTTCAGTTCTCAATGGGATCTTTCTACCACTGATCCTGCTTCTAGCCCATAAACTAAATTTTCTTCATCAAGAAAAATAAATTTGTCAGTTTAAGAATGGGTCTTGGATTGTCATGAGCACCTGAGCATAAATGTCTTTCAACAGGCTCTCATGACACTTCTTCGTCATGGAGTGGCCCTGTTGAGATTTAGTTGGCTAAGCCACAAACAAAAAGAAAGCATTAAGGTCATTGCTGAGGGTGACTGTGTGATAAATTAGGAGAGATCTCTGCTGAGTCCAGGCTTCTCTGCCTGCCTCTCCCCAGACATACTGTCAGTGCAGTAAGATCCCAGCAGATGCTGGCAATACATTAGCTGCTTTGCAGCAGAGTCAATAAACACCATCTCCTTCAGGCTTCTTCCTGACTTCACCACTGCTTGACATTACTAGCATCTCACTTCTCCCGGTGTCTCACAGTCCTTCCAGTTCAACACCCCCCTGCAAAACCTCTGAGCTAGGTCCTAGTAACTTATGACAAATGCAGACAGTGGCCTTATTAAACAGAAAGATTTTCAAGGTCTCCCCATGAACTTCTTTCCATAGGAGTGCCACACTATTCTGCAAAGCCAATCAACGTGCTATCTTAGTGTCTGCCCCCCACCCACCCCATAGCTTCACCCCTAGGAAGGTGATAGCGTGTACCAGATCTGAAATTCAATTTTGGAAGCAGCTGTCAAATATCATTAAAAGTCTTATGAAGTCATATAACAAATCATGAACCAAACTGAAATCTCAGTAGACCATTAGCATATTTGATCAGTTAGTAAGAACTACATGCTTTAAAAAGACATTACTGAATTTGCTACCTGCTAGAAACTGTTAATTTGAATGATCTGTTCAGTGTAAAGCCCATGAATAATTCACCCCTGTGAACAATTTGAACTATCTATAAGTAATAAAACATTCAGCTGGTTTAGTAGCCATGCACCACTTTTTTCACTAGGGTTATGGATCATTTGGGTCATGCCATTGTCTTTATCCTTCCCTAGCTAAGCATAAAGGGTGCAACTCAGCAGTCAAGGTTTTTGTCTGTCAGTTTTTACATTTAAACCTGACACATCTCAGGTACTAGGAATAAGTGGGTTATGCTCTATATTTTTTTGTGAACTCACATTTTGCATCATTGCTTTGGTAGTCTTAAAAATGTAATGCTTATAATCAGCTGTGAAAACAGCAATTTACTAAAGAACAGTCTCTGCTCAGAGGAAAAACTCCAATGCACTACATATATTTTTCTTTTCGATTTGGCTGTTTGCAGCATTTGGAAAACCATGACTCTCTTGTGAGAATATGGCAGTATTCAACTGCATTCTGTGACCTCCCAGCTTACCTAAAATAATGTAGGAGCTAGCTCAACTACAGCACTGGTGCAGCTCACTGATGTTCTCATTTTAAATGAGAATCAAGATACTATCTCAATTCCCAGTCTTTCCCCCTGCTTTGGGCCATGTTTCATTACATTCATGAACGAGATCTTATCTTAGAGATGGCCAACTTATTTATACAAATAATTGAAATCTCAGTGAAGCTTTTGGGGAGGTTTTTTAATTCAGCATCAGGAGGACACCCAGGTATGTCATCATTAAAACCCATTGAGTCACCCAACACACACCTTGCTTCTCAAATTCTTCAAAGAGATTCAGGCTGGTAATGCTTGGGCCAGTGAAGATGATGTAATTCTTCCCAGATGCATTCTGACAGAGGCTTTTGGCCACCATACTGTGAAGCTGTGGTTTGTTCTTCAAAGCATCGAGCCCATCAACACCACTCCCTTCTTTGAGATGGACGTAAATCTTAAATGAGAAATAGGGAAAAAAGTCAGAAAGTTATAAGGAATCCAGAGGGAGCAGATGCAATTGCGAACATACCTAGTCAACTCAACTGGAGACAAGCTGAGAATCTAGGCAGCAGATACTTTTAATAAACTAATATATAAAGCCCCTTTCAAGTGGCTGTTGCTTTAAAACCACCTCAGGTTAGCTGGCACAGCTACCAATAAATACAGCATCCTTTGCCTCAGCTTAAGGGCTTCCTGAGGTTCTTGTCACTGTTGTGTAGTTTGAAGATTGTTTGCTTGGCAGGCAAAGATTCAAGTCATAACTGAGATTGTGTTATACTGAATCTGCATCAGCTTTAATGCTGCCAGCAAAAGGAGAGCATGGGAACTTCAGTTTCAACAAAGGCCACTACAAGATGACCAGAAGGAAATGGCCCATTAGCTTCACTGCAGCAATGTTCAGATTTATTTCTGTTGGCAGCAACCATTAGGATGCGACAGAAGTGTGTGTGCACCCCCATAAATGAGAGGAGCCAGCAATACACATACATACCCAGCCAGTCAGAACACCCTCATCAAACTCTCCAGGCACAGCGCTAATTCTTAGATCCTTTACTTAGACCATGATGTGGAGACAACCCACCGAAACAGACTGGACCAGGAAGCAGGGTACAGCGCAATATGCTGCTGTTAACAGGGAAATGCCTGGCTCATTTGTAGCAGGCTGCAGTAGCTTTAGGGTGTAGCCTGCTATAGTGCAGTCCACTTCACTATGCATTTGAACAGAGCCGTCACCATCATCAGCAGGAGGACATACATGTTTGTATTAGAGTGCAGGAACATTTATCCCTTAGTAATTTGACTAAAATTAACTGAACACAGTCCCACTAACTAAAAGAGCACTGAAGTAAAGCTATTACTTCGTTCTGACATTCCCCCTAGAAGAGGAGTCTTCTGCATTGTCATGCAGAGGGAGAAAACACATACCCTTCCTTTGTAAACAAGCCTTCCATTTTATTTCACTGAGAGTATTTCACAAGCATAACTTTCACCAATTTTGAACATCTATTAAAATCAGCTTGACATCCAACCTTCATCTTGTTCTAAAATTCAGCAGAAATAACTTGCTGGAAAGAGAAATGAGAAGCAGCAAACACCGCTCTAGTCACTCAGTACTGTAACACCATGGAACTTGGAAAGATTTAAAAAAAACCCCAAAAAAACAAATAACACAAATGCAAATTTTCTGAAAAAATTGCCCAGGCCTGCCTTTGTGGCTTTGGTTCTGAAGTACTCAAATCTTTTAGGAATTCCAGAAAAATTTAACCAGAGATACTTGCACAGTATTCAGGGACAAGGAAAAGGAATTTTGCCTTGTTTCCTGATGTATCCACAACAAGCTTTTGTTAAACTTGCTTGAGACCTCAACCACCTAGAATATGCAGCACTGCTTTCCTGTATATGCATCTGTTTCTCTTACCAACACACTCCTTCATAAATGAAAGTTCAATACAAAGCTCATAGAACAAAAGTGCTTTCATGGTTGCAGTAGTGCTCCCAATAATTTATATCTCAATGATCTTAGAGGGGAATGAAATTCAATTAAACAGCTTCTCTCTATTTTAGATGGTGTATCTCCCAACACTGGTATTCTAGAAATATTAATGCAATATTCCCTAGTAATTCATGCATCGTGGAACAGTCCCCAAGAGGAGTGTGTTAGGTATGAAATCTCTGAGAAATGAAACTTAATGTGTATTTTGAAATAACTGATGTGCTAAAGAACAAAGCTGGTGCAAGGACAAATACATGCTAATTCCAAAAACAAGCACCGCACATACTAAAAGGAAGTCTTAAATATACATTATTTATATTAAAAAAAAATAATAATCCATTTTTTGATTGAAACTGTTTCCAGATGAGAAAAAAGGCAGGAATGTTTGTAGAGTTGCTGACCAAGCTCTACTCATTTCTGGAAGCTGTCAAATTTGTGCTTTCCCCAATGCTAAGACTGAGGACTAGCTAATTACAGTAAGTCATTTAGGTTATTAATCAGGGCTCAAGAGAGCAGCTTAATAGTGGAATGCATACAAAGGGCAGATTGTTCCAAATTTACAGCAAAGGTATTTCATGATTATTAACATCAAAATTAAGATTAGGTTACTAGCATGCCAGCATAGAGACCACACATCAAGCCCTTAGAATCTATAGACAAGGCACAAGGAGACAAACGACACAGACAGATTAGTTTTGACCTTGGATTAGCAGTTGAGCTGAAAACAAAGCACGAATCTCTACGTCTAGGAGAGTGTCCTACACTTTCCCCTCCTCTACTGCAGTAAGACTCAGCCAACCAAGAGTCTCTCCTGCTCCATGTTCACTTTGTGTTCCCCATAGAGTATCCCTCCAGGGATATGACAGTCTGCTGGTCAGCATGAGCCAGTTGGTCCCTCACCATGGGCTGGTTTGGGTCTGCAAGCAGCTACTTTAAAGTGCATGCCCACCATGCAACCATCTACCGAGACATAACTATTTTCCTACTAGGATGCTACATACTCCATAGGTTTTGTTAGCAGTGTTCACTGTGCACCTGGCACCCTCCCACTGTTCTTCCCTCTATCTTGAGGGTCCTTGTAATGGCCACCTTGTGATTTCCATTCTCCCTTGCTCTGTTCACCTCACCAGTACCCCTTACTCAAAATCCATACCCACTGCTAAACCTTCCTTCTCTCCTCCTCCAATGTTAAATATATCTCTCTTTTTAATCCTTGGGCATTTCCTTGCCCATCCAAGCACAGCTTTTGTTCTTGGCACAATTTTTCTTGTTTTGGAGAAGCATCATTCAAAGCCTTATCATGCTCAGCCCTATTGGAAAGATGGGTGACGGCAGCATAATGTTGGAAGGCAATAAGGCTGCTGTGAAACAGTGGCTGGGTACAGACAACTGGCAAAGGCATAGCTTCAAATATCCTTGCAAGTGCCTACAATCCCATATGGCCTTTATTTTCTCTCTCCCTGTCCTCTCATCCAGCTTATTGCATTCTACCTCAAATCATTAAGATCCTGCCTACAGAAGCCTGAAGCATTCCACCCCATTCTGTAATGCATTAGAAGTGGTATTTAACAGTCAGCAGTCTGAAGAAAAAGCACAGAATTTCCAGAAATTGGCCACAAGACGTTCACAGTCACAGTCAGAAGCTGCTCCCCCAAAATGTTTGTTAAACCATTCACCAGAGCTTCTGGTTTGTCCTGTGACAGCATTAGAACTTTGTGCCCTTTCCATATGTTTCAACAGCAAAGGATTGTCACAAGTACAGGCTCAACAACTGCTTCTGGACAATAGATGGAGATGTCAGCAGCAACATCCTCTGCTTCTGCAGGTGACAGTCAAAGCACTGCTTCCTGAATATTTGCAGAGATCACTTTTACTGTGTATCTTTTTCCTAGTGGCTACTGATCCATTCGATCTACAACACCAAATGGGATAATGTGTGACATCATCTGTCTTGGGAGACAACTACAGGCTGAAGCTCTTTATCTGGCAGTGCTGGAACCAAAACAGAGCTTTCTCTAGTTATCCCTCAATTATTTATTTCTTACCAGACAGCTACACGTTCAGTTCTGCCATCTCTCTATCTACTGCAGCCCTACTGCAGCAGATGCTTTCAATTCAACATGTTTTAATCCTGTGTGCACAATACCAGCTCTCCTCACACTATATAACTCATTCCTCAAACCCTCCTTTCCTCAGCCTACAGTCTCTTCCCTTTGAAAACCTGACAGTAAGAAAAGACCTTCACAGTCTCTGGCTCATCCTTCCTTCCACCTACAACTGCTTCTGCCTCCTCCCATCACAAACTCAAAAGTAGGTATCAGTCAATATACCTGATTGCCCAAGTGACGGTACAGGTGAAGACTTCACTGAGCTCTTCCAAAACAAGAAAAACAGTGTAAAAACTGTTCTGGAAAGACTGTTTGCCTACACAGAGGCAGTCAGAAAAGACATCACATTTCTGAGCAGGAGATTTCATGTGCTGACAGAAGAGAGGCAAGTCAATCACCTGCCATTCAGAAACTCAAACCAAGTACGTTCAGCTACACAGACTGCTAGAGAGAGTGTTATCAGAGGAAGGAAGATCTCAGAGTAGGCATCTGTGCTACAAGCCAACAGGAATTTCTTTGCTCTGTGCTAGCAATTTACTCTATGGAAAATTCACATGGAAGATTTATAAGGTCTTGCTAGAAACTAGGTAAAAACCCAAGCACTTAGGAACAAAAGCTGCATCTTGACTGCACATTTAAGAGCATCCTAGAAACTAAAATATTGGTGACTGGGCTCATATTCAAAGCCCAGACAGAAAATTGAAAGCACTTGCGAATAGCACATCCCAAATACTCCATATTCATATATAATTGAAGCATCTCAGGGTACAATTCTTAAATAAAATAGATGACATTTGGAAGAAAAAAAAGAGCAGGATATTAATAAACAGGAGGAAAATTTTGAGGACTACTTTGTGCAAAATACTTCACAAAGGACAGACCCTAAACAACAACAAAATAGAAGCAAAGTTTTTAGATGACACTTATAAAAGCAAGAGAACAAAGAACATGCAATAGTTTTTGGATGCTAAATAGCTATCAAAACCATAACTTCATTTTTCTATAGACTTAGCCAAATACTCGTTCATTCCTAGCACCACTCTAGATCTTGCCTCACTCTGTCTTCTCTTATCCTAAACCTCATCTCTGTTATCATTACCATAGTTGTTGGGAGATCCTCCCCTTCAGTCCCACCCCAAACTTTCTGCAGCCCATACTTCCCTCTTCTTTAATGCCCTCTTCCCAGCCAGCTCTTAGGTCTAGCTCTTCCTCAGCAGCTGTTGGCACCACTGATGGTGCTCCTAGCGAGACCGGATCTTTTTATTTGAGCCCCTCTTCATTCTCTTCCTACTCATCTAAACACTACTTTGAAAATGCATGCAAGGGACACACAGCTTTCCCATTCTGTTCCTA